AATGTCTACTCGGGGCGGCTTACATGAATGAAAACACGACAATATGAACAATATGTATAACTCCTTGTGCAACACTAAATGCTTTGCATCTGTGTTTCTTTGTTTTTGGCAGGTTTCCCCTATGAGAAGGTGGTTCAGCGGGTCCTCTACCTCCAGGTTCTGGATTACGATCGTTTCAGTCGTAATGACCCCATTGGGGAAGTATCTATTCCCCTCAACAAGGTGGACCTGACCCAGATGCAAACATTCTGGAAAGACCTAAAGCCCTGCAGTGACGGGAGTGTAAGATATTTGTTTTGTCTTCAAGCAGAGAGCTGATCAGTGCAAGATTTGGTGCCTGTGATTTGCAGCCTATCTACCATGTGACAAGACTCTATTTCTGGTGTGGCCAAAGAAGCCCACTGCTTGCACAGTCGCTGGATAATAGCTTTATGCTAGCTGAGGGTTCTGGATACTGTCATCCAAAAAGTACTGGTAACTTTTCCAAGCTTTTCCAAGTGGACTACTTTGTCCCTGATACTTGGTTGTCTGCTTCTCCCAATGACCTTTGTTAACAGAAGAATAAAAGGTTATGCTCTCAGGCCACTTAGGGGTCAGGGTCAGGGTGGCAGCATAACACAGGCTTCCTGCTCCTGACCTATGTGGTCATTAGTGAGGAGCGACATTAGATGTGTGGACAGTTCACCAGTTGTACACAAAGAATAATTAGTACTAAAATCAATTTAATGGGTCAAGGTACATGCCACAGACACAAACCTCTTTGTCTCCAGAACAGAAATTGGCTGTGTGAATTATACAATGCAAATTGCTTTTTTCAATTAAATATTCTAATTAATTTGTGAGTTAATTTGTTAATTCAAGAGCAGGACTATGAACCTTGTCTGTAACCTTACTTTTAATTTCCCCTTTGCAGAATTGCTGTCTCCCATTCTCAAATGTATAACTTAAAGTAGATAAGAGCTAACAGAGCTAATTGAGATTTTGTGAGCTCTTGATGGATACTGAGCTCAGTAACAATTAAACTGATAAACTTTTTCTGCTAATATTCCCTTTGTAGCCCATCAATACCCAAAAGGACACCTCTGAACACAGCCAACTCTCCATTTTGTTTCAGAATAGCTCTATCCACACAGTTGGACTTATTCTCTTGACCAATGTGAATGCAAGCTTTTTTGTTTGTCTGTTTAAAGCTAAAGCCAGCAAATTGTTCTCTGCTTTGAGCAGCTGCCAAGGGTTCGCGTCTTCTTAGAGGTGTTCTCTGAGCGGAGTAGGGTAGATTCAGAACTGGGCTAGGAGGATTAGAATCCCAGGTGTGGACAGTAGCCACAGTAGGTGTCCATGATATACAGTGTTTGAGAAAACATTCCTCAGCTGCTGCTATCCTTTTTTTTTCCTGCAGGGAAGCCGAGGAGAGCTGCTCCTGTCCCTTTGTTACAACCCTTCTGCTAACTCCATTGTTGTGAATATTATCAAAGCTCGGAATCTTAAAGCCATGGACATTGGGGGCACATCAGGTATTAAATTCTAGAGCTGGCCTTCTATCTATTGTGGCAGATCATCTCAGGTTTCAAGGGAAGCCCCAACCAGCCTTTTCTTCAAGATCTAAACACTTAACAGGTTCCCTGTAAACCTGGGATCTGTGATGTGGCAGAAGCCCTAGACTGTCAGACTTCTTCTGTATGTGGCGTAGGTGACTTCCTTTGTAATGTAGGAGCCTGGCATTATTTATGTGCATTATCTCTAACTGACACAGTGAGTAAGGGATGCGTACATTCATAGACACACAGCTCTGTGTATCACTGGGAAGAAGTATTAACAGAGTTTACCTGATCTATAACCAGGACGGTCTGTTCTCTTTTTTGCACACAAAATATTCTCCTAGAATTGTTCCTGACTGATGTCAGAACAGTTCTAAAGCAGTAGATCTTACTGTGCTAGACTTTCAAGCTGAACAGTATATTCTCCTAGAATTGTTCCTGACTGATGCCAGAACAGTTCTAGAGCAGTAGAGCAGCTGTACTGTTCAAAGTGGTCTCTCATATTGCACTGAAAATAACAGCGGAAAAGGCTAAGCATCAGTTATGTTTTCTCTGTGTCCCTGCTACATGCAGAACTAGCAGCTGAATTTAATTTTTAAATTTTACTTTGATGATTTTAAACAGGCTTGGCTTTGGCCTGTATATGGATGGGGGACTTTCTGGAAACCTCTCATAGACTACCTTGAGTTCCACAGAGAAAGAAATATGGGATACAAATATGATATAAATAAATAGCACTTCAAAAGGCTGTAGTAAAAACATGGTTCCCTGTATTTGTTTGGCTTTCTTGGGTCCTAGAAATTTAATTTTAACCTTCAGACTTTTCAAGCATCTTCCTTGTAGTGAATATAGACTAAGAAAATGGAGAAATCTCAAAGGTATGAAGACAAAATGGATGCAATGAGAAAGGAAAAAGAATGCTTTCCTCATGACAACCAAGCTGCCAACCCACTAGAAGTTCTAGAGGTTCTTCTGACCTATTGTGGAAGGGAGGCATCTTTTATTACAATCTACACCAAATGGGCAAATGGCCTCAAAGTCCTTTACATAACTTGTGGCAAAAGAGAGATAATTTATTTTGTTTATTTATTCATTTAAAATTTAAAATATTTTTACCTCACCTTTCTCTTTGAAAATGACCCAAGGTGGTTTGCAACAATGAAACGCAATATTTAAAGTTGAAAGTTGAAAACAATGAGTATACAACGGTGCTTAATATCATTAAAAGACAATATTTAAAACTACGAACAATGAATAAGGAGGCATCTTGCATCATTAACAGGCAATATTAAAGGTGAAAATCAATAAGTATACAACATTTTAAAGAATGTCACTCTGAGAAATGGAAAACACAAAAATGGAAAACAGAAGTACTGTAGTATAAAAATCCAAGCATAGCACTAACGCATAACAATATATCTAAAATTCACACACAGATAACTGTAAACTAAGGGAAGGATTGCCTAAAGAGAAAGGTCTTTCACCTGCTTGTGGAAGGACAACAAAGATGGGGCCAGTCTGGCCTCCTGTGGGAGGGAGTTCCAAAGTCTGGGAGCAGCAACAGAAAAGGCTCTCCTGTGTCCCCATCAGATGTGCCTATGAAGTTGGCGGGACCAAAAGGAAGGCCTCTCCTGATGATCTTAATACCTGAGCTGGCTCATAATGGGAGATTCAGTCTTTGAAATAGCTTGGACCCAGGCTATTTAGGGCTTTATAGGTTAGAACCAGCACTTTAAATTAAATAAGCATATGTTTCCCTTGTTTACTCTATCCTTTGCATTAGAAAATATGATATTTGCTGCTTATTTACTCATGAAGAAAATGAGGAGGAGAGTATGTGTAATGTAACAATTGAAGAACAAGGGGAAACTTTGGTTAGGAAAATTGTAGGGGAGAGGAGGCCAATGCTTGGGAATGTTATTTTTAAAGCTGTCATGTGCTCATTAGTATTATCTTATGAAAAAGGTTTTTTTAATGTTACTCACTTCCACCCTTGAAACAGCAATTCATTCAATTTTTTCTTAATGTCAGTGGCAACTTACTTTTAAGTTAATTTTGTCAGAAAACTTATCTAGAACTCCCCCAAATGTGCCCACGTGCCCCCTAATAACTCCCCAAGTTATGTTTAAAGGTAATGTTATTTGTTACTCAAAATGTTAATGTCATAGTTAAAAAATAATGATGTTGGCTGAGGAAGGAAGGGAGGGAGGGAGGGAGGAAGGGGAAGGGAAGGGAAGGGAATGTAGTGACTAACATTGTTATTATTCATGAATTACTTCCAAGCTATGCCTAAAAGAAATAAAAACAATAACAAATTTTACCTAATATATTGAGCATTTGAACTCAGAACAGTGTAGTTCATTCAAGCATCAGTACTGGGAAATAGTTAACTGAGTACTGTCAGAAGAAAAAGAGTAAATAAGTGAACAACAGAATGGTGAACTGGCTGTGTAAGTGAAAAGAAGCTTGATACAAGTGACTCTCTAGGTAGGATAGCAAATCAGGCAAAAAGAAAAAGAAGACAAAAATTTGGCATCTTAAAGACTAACTGCTGTATTTTAATGTGAGTTGTTGTGAACAAGTCCATTTCTTCAGACAGTAGGATATGGAACAGATTGAATTTACTTGGAAATTTCCTTAATTTCCCGTGTTGAAAATAAGTTAACACCTGGAGATTTCTGTGTAAATAAAACAAACCTTGTACAGTATTTTCAAAATTGACTGCACGTCTTTCTCAGTGAAAAGAAAGATAAATGGTCCAGTCCTCTGCAGTCTGATAAAGCCTGGAGTTAGAGTACTAGATAATAATTCTTGTCACCACCCGCGCCTCACCATCTCTAAACAGCACTCCAATGATCATGTCTCCCTTTTCCTCTACTAGACCCCTATGTGAAGGTGTGGCTGATGTACAAAGATAAGCGGGTGGAAAAGAAGAAGACAGTAGTGATGAAGAGGTGCCTGAACCCTGTCTTCAATGAGTCCTTCATCTTTGACATTCCCACAGAGAAGCTGAGGGAGACAACCATTGTCATCACTGTCATGGATAAGGACAAGCTCAGCCGGAATGATGTCATTGGGAAGGTGAGTTCTTTTCTCAAGGTTCTGCCCAAAGTCTTTTCAGGAGGAACTGTGTTGGGCAAGGCAGCATGTCAAAGAAATGAACTCTGTCAACAGAGGAGCTGGAACTGGATAAGGGAAACAGGCAGTCTAGCTACAAGCAGGCACTTGTAGCTAGATTGCCTATTAGGTACATATGTAGAATGGACAGTGGGAACAAAGTGCTGTGTCTTCATGCATGCCATCATTATTTCTCCACTCAAAATTGAAGATTCCGAAGACTGCTATTACTTACAGAATAAAATAAAATAGGGGCATTAGTTATATACTGGATAGATAGCTCAGTGGTTTAGGTAGCTGGCTTGTGAGCCAGAGGTAGGGAATCTCAATCCCCATTGTGCCTCCTGCAAGTAAAGCCAGCCTGGGTGGCCTTGGGGAAGCTGCTCAGTCCCAGGGCACAACCAGAAGAAGGCAATGGTAAACCACTTTTGAGTGTTCTCTACTGGGAAAACTCTGAAAAGGATTGCCATAAGTAAGAACTGACTTGACAGAACATCATCATGATTATGATTATCATGATGGTGGTGACTACTGTAGTCACATGCACTGGTGTGCAGCGTTCCATTTACCCCCAAGAAGGCCCATTTTATTTAAATTTTATCTTGCAGATGTTTATTTTAACACTTGCTTTTGGTTTTAGAAACTGGGATGTGAAAAGCAGCAGCTTATCATTCTGTTCCACTAGCCTGATTTAGCTGGGGTAATTTGGTTTGCACTGACAAGAATTTCATTACAGTACAGCTCTTTTTTCCCTTCTGTCAAGGATTTCAGCTTAATAGCCTTAGAACAACATGTTCCTTTTTATGACACTATAAGCAAAATATACCTGAGCATATGGTTGGATATATATCATTAGTATAGTTTTGACTGGATCGAAAGGTTTGCACTCAGAATCATATTCAAGAGTTTAAAAAAAACCTTCAAGTACCTAGCCCAACTCCTTCATGATCATTCAAGGGCTACAGACTTCTTAAAATACAAGTGAGCCCATTAATTTAACAGGAAAGCATTTGTCCTCTTGCAAAAATGAATGAATATGCACATGGATCAGCCTCTGCATAACTTTTTATAAGGTGAGTTTTCTTCATTATTTTTAAAACTGTGTATGGTTTTTACATCTCTCAAAATTTGTATACATAACATAGAGGGTAGGAACTTACTTTGTGAAACGCGAAATTGTTCTCTTTTTTACTATTCTAAATCAGCTTGTTGTTGTTTAATTGTTTTGTCATGTCCGACTCTTTGTGACCCCATGGGCCAGAGCACGCCAGGCTCTCCTCTCTTCCACTGCCTCCCAGAGTTGGGTCAAATTCATGTTGGTTGCTTCAATGACACTGTCCAACCATCTCGTCCTCTGTTGTCCCCTTCTCCTCTTGCCTTTACACTTTCCTAACATGAGGGTCTTTTCCAAGGAGTCTTCTCTTCTCATGAGATGGCCAAAGTATTGGAGCCTCAGCTTCAGGATCTGTCCTTCCAGTGAGCACTCAGGGCTGATTTCCTTTAGAATGGATTGGTTTGTTCTCCTTGCAGTCCAGGGGACTCTCAATGGCCTCCTCCATCACCACAATTCAAAAGCATCAATTCTTCGGCGGTCAGCTTTCTTCATGGTCCAGCTCTCACTTCCATACGTCACAACAGGAAAAACCATGGTTTTGACTATGCGGACTTTTGTTGGCAAGGTGATGTCTCTGCTTTTTAAGATGCTGCCGAGGTTTGTCATTGCTTTCCTCCCAAGAAGCAGGCATCTTTTAATTTTGTGGCTGCTGTCACCGTTTGCAGTGATCATGGAGCCCAAGAAAGTAAAATTTGTCACTGCCTCCATATCTTCCCCTTCTATTTGCCAGGAGGTGATGGGACCAGTGGCTATGCTCTTAGTTTTTTTGATGTTGACCATTTTTTGCACTCTCCTCTTTCACCCTCATTACGAGGTTTTTTTAATTCCTCTTCACTTTCTGCCATCAGAGAGGTATCATCTGCATATCGGAGGTTGTTGATATTTCTTCCTGGAATCTTAATTCCAGTCCAGCTTTTCGCATGATGTATTCTGCATATAAATTAAATAAGCTGGGGGAGAATATACAGCCCTGTTGTACTCCTTTCCCAATTTTGAACCAATCAGTTGTTCCATATCCAGTTCTAACTGTTGCTTCCTGTCCCACGTATAGGTTTCTCAGGAGATAGATAAGGTGGTCAGACACTCCCATTGCTTTAAGGACTTGCCATAGTTTGCTGTGGTCCACACAGCCAAAGGCTTTTGCATAGTCAATGAAGCAGAAGTAGATGTTTTTCTGGAACTCTCTGGCTTTCTCCATAATCCAGCACATGTTAGCAATTTGGTCTCTAGTTCCTGTGCTCTTTCTAGCGTGTGAAATGAGTGCAATTGTACGGTACTTGGAGCATTCTTTGGCACAGCCCTTCTTTGGGACTGGGATGTAGACTGATCTTTTCCAGTCCTCTGGCCACTGTTGAGTTTTCCATACTTGCTGGCATATTGAATGTAGCACCTTACAGCATCATTTTAAATAGTTCAACTGGAATGTCATCACCTCTACTGGCCTTGTTGTTAGCCAAGCTTTCTAAGGCCCACTTGACTTCACTCTCCAGGATGTCTGGCTCCAGGTCAGCAGCCACATTATCTGGGTTGTCCAGGATATCCAAACCTTCCTGGTATAATTCCTCTTGTGTATTCTTGCCACCTCTTCTTGATGTCTTCTGCTTCTGTTAGATCCCTCCCATTCTTGTCCTTTATCATGTTCATCTTTGCGCAAAATGTTCCTCTAATATCTCTAATTTTCCTGAACAGATCTCTGGTTTTTCCTTTTCTATTATTTTCCTCTATTACTTTGCATTGTTCATTTAAGAAGGCCCTCTTGTCTCTCCTTGCTATTCTTTGGAATTCTGCATTCAATTTTCTGTAACTTTCCCTATCTCCCTTGCATTTTGTTTCTCTTCTCTTCTCTGCTATAAGGTCTCTAAATCAGCTACCTATCTGCATTTAGGCTGTAGATCTAGTCCAACACTTGTCCAAGGTCCAAATTCTAATTATGCAGAATTCAGATTCCAGATTCTGAATACATAGAATTTGTTGAAGATTTCCTATAAATTGCCCTGCAACCTTGAACACACTCAGTTCCAGCTGATTTCAGAAGTCCATCAGGGTTGGTCCTATTTAGTATTTGTATGGGAGATCACTAAGTAATGCCATCTCCAAGTAGGGCTAGGTAAAAGTCTGCCTGATCCTCTGGGCAGCCATTGCTATCAATCAGAGCTGACAATATGTGGCTACTAGGTCTGACACAGCAGAAGGCACATTCCTATGTTCCTTGATTGCTTCCAGTGCATGTTGCCTGACTTGTCTATAAGCAACAGGCAAATTGCCTAATGAGTCAACACAATCTGCATAAGTCAGTACCAAACTAGAGTATTTGTTGCCACTGGTCTGCCACATACTTAGAACTAGGTGGACAGATGATATCTGATTGCCACAGATTAAGTATACAGTATTTGGAACTGACATAGTGCATTTGCTGCCATTTCGTGTCTAACATGGAGGTCTCTCTAAGGATACCATTCCTTCTTTTAGAACAATTGTGTTCAAAAAGTATAGTACTAAACAGATAAACACACTGGCATTTCAAAATCAAAATTAAGTTCTATATAAAATTACTGTGCTCTAGGGTCTGTTCTAACTTAGTATATAGTGCAGTTCTAGCTCCCTCAGACAGACATCTGATAAGGGCTAGGATAGGGTAGACAGAAGCCCATTTGCCCCAGAGATCTCGCTCATACCCTAGGGAAGCTCTGGTATTCTTATCAGTAGGCTTTGGATCTGCTGGACTCTAGGAGCAGCCTCCCTCTACGCCCACTCCCATGGAACAAAATGAGGAGGAGAAGGAATTTTAAAAGAAATAATAGAGAAAGGGGAAATGTTAAATCCACCCTACCATAACCATGCCTCCTGCCCTGCCACCATGGCTTTGAACATCCTTCTTGGAAGGTGTAGCTCCCCTCCATTTTAACTCCTGAGTTCTAAATGTATGCTAAAATGGTCAACAGCAAGAACAACATAGTTCTATATTATTTACATTCTTTCTTTATGTCAAAGCCTTCATGCTATGCACATCCCTCTGGAGTACAGGAAAACTTGCATAGGATGAACTTGAACCCAGTGAAACTTATTGATACTGAACTATAAAATGGTACTTCTAGAAAACTACAGAGTACTGTAGATTGCAGGCCAGAGTGAAATGTTGAAAAGAGAAGGTTAGGGGATATGCAATGACTTTGCATTGGTAATCTTATTACTTTCACATGCATACATTCTGGTCTTTATTTTATTTATTTTTATTTATTCCTGGATATTTATCTCGCCCTTCTAGACAGAAGTCTACTCAAGGTGGCTCACAATATATTACAAACAGATAAAAACAACAATGAAAATCTACAATAATACTATAATCGTCTTCTTTGGCTTCTGTGAAAGCATGCAGAATGAACACACAAAACTGCCTTCTGTTATGTCAGACTGCCAGTCCATCTAGCCCTTGACTGACTAGGAGCAGTTCTCCAGGGCATCCATCAGAGATTTTTCCATATCCTGTACTAGCTGAAATATTTTAACACAGAAGTGAGTAGTCTGCAGACTCTGCCTGTGCGCCATCAAAAACTTTATGGAGACCGCACCCCTTACTTTCCCCTTCTGTTCGTCTTCCCAAGCATCTGAGGCATGCCTGGGAACAGATTCCAACAGTGCTGTTTATGGCAGGGAAGCAAAAACCTTAATAAGGATCACAATGGTCACTGAATAAAATCCAATCTCTGTGATTTGGGTTTTTGCTAGCGTGCTTCAGTTTACCTCAATTAACTTTAAGAAATATAGAGAGCACGTTTGTACTATTGGCTGGGGAAATGGCCTCCTGCTTAGAAACACAAGATTATATGCATCACTTTAAAAGAAATTAATC